AGATAGATAGATAGATAGATAGATAGATAGATAGATAGATAGATAGATAGATAGATAGATAGATAGATAGATAGATAGATAGATAGATAGATAGATAGATAGATAGATAGATAGATAGATAGATAGATAGATAGATAGATAGATAGATAGATAGATAGATAGATAGATAGATAGATAGATAGATAGATAGATAGATAGATAGATAGATAGATAGATAGATAGATAGATAGATAGATAGATAGATAGATAGATAGATAGATAGATAGATAGATAGATAGATAGATAGATAGATAGATAGATAGATAGATAGATAGATAGATAGATAGATAGATAGATAGATAGATAGATAGATAGATAGATAGATAGATAGATAGATAGATAGATAGATAGATAGATAGATAGATAGATAGATAGATAGATAGATAGATAGATAGATAGATAGATAGATAGATAGATAGATAGATAGATAGATAGATAGATAGATAGATAGATAGATAGATAGATAGATAGATAGATAGATAGATAGATAGATAGATAGATAGATAGATAGATAGATAGATAGATAGATAGATAGATAGATAGATAGATAGATAGATAGATAGATAGATAGATAGATAGATAGATAGATAGATAGATAGATAGATAGATAGATAGATAGATAGATAGATAGATAGATAGATAGATAGATAGATAGATAGATAGATAGATAGATAGATAGATAGATAGATAGATAGATAGATAGATAGATAGATAGATAGATAGATAGATAGATAGATAGATAGATAGATAGATAGATAGATAGATAGATAGATAGATAGATAGATAGATAGATAGATAGATAGATAGATAGATAGATAGATAGATAGATAGATAGATAGATAGATAGATAGATAGATAGATAGATAGATAGATAGATAGATAGATAGATAGATAGATAGATAGATAGATAGATAGATAGATAGATAGATAGATAGATAGATAGATAGATAGATAGATAGATAGATAGATAGATAGATAGATAGATAGATAGATAGATAGATAGATAGATAGATAGATAGATAGATAGATAGATAGATAGATAGATAGATAGATAGATAGATAGATAGATAGATAGATAGATAGATAGATAGATAGATAGATAGATAGATAGATAGATAGATAGATAGATAGATAGATAGATAGATAGATAGATAGATAGATAGATAGATAGATAGATAGATAGATAGATAGATAGATAGATAGATAGATAGATAGATAGATAGATAGATAGATAGATAGATAGATAGATAGATAGATAGATAGATAGATAGATAGATAGATAGATAGATAGATAGATAGATAGATAGATAGATAGATAGATAGATAGATAGATAGATAGATAGATAGATAGATAGATAGATAGATAGATAGATAGATAGATAGATAGATAGATAGATAGATAGATAGATAGATAGATAGATAGATAGATAGATAGATAGATAGATAGATAGATAGATAGATAGATAGATAGATAGATAGATAGATAGATAGATAGATAGATAGATAGATAGATAGATAGATAGATAGATAGATAGATAGATAGATAGATAGATAGATAGATAGATAGATAGATAGATAGATAGATAGATAGATAGATAGATAGATAGATAGATAGATAGATAGATAGATAGATAGATAGATAGATAGATAGATAGATAGATAGATAGATAGATAGATAGATAGATAGATAGATAGATAGATAGATAGATAGATAGATAGATAGATAGATAGATAGATAGATAGATAGATAGATAGATAGATAGATAGATAGATAGATAGATAGATAGATAGATAGATAGATAGATAGATAGATAGATAGATAGATAGATAGATAGATAGATAGATAGATAGATAGATAGATAGATAGATAGATAGATAGATAGATAGATAGATAGATAGATAGATAGATAGATAGATAGATAGATAGATAGATAGATAGATAGATAGATAGATAGATAGATAGATAGATAGATAGATAGATAGATAGATAGATAGATAGATAGATAGATAGATAGATAGATAGATAGATAGATAGATAGATAGATAGATAGATAGATAGATAGATAGATAGATAGATAGATAGATAGATAGATAGATAGATAGATAGATAGATAGATAGATAGATAGATAGATAGATAGATAGATAGATAGATAGATAGATAGATAGATAGATAGATAGATAGATAGATAGATAGATAGATAGATAGATAGATAGATAGATAGATAGATAGATAGATAGATAGATAGATAGATAGATAGATAGATAGATAGATAGATAGATAGATAGATAGATAGATAGATAGATAGATAGATAGATAGATAGATAGATAGATAGACATCGATTCGTTGTCTACATGAACCTCTTTCTTATTTTCAAAGGTTTATGCTACTATGAAGGAAGAAGTTGTTCACAGTAATCAGTACAGTACAGTGCAATACAGTACAGTGCAGTACAGTACAGTACAGTATACTGGACAAAACATAAATTTAACAAAATTCATTTCCAATCTTATGAATAAATAGTCTAACAAAATTGTAATTCATAGAAACTATAGCAACTAGAAGCTATAAACTTAACCTTTTCATTATATTACAGAAGTGAATCAATCTTCAAACTACCTTGGTAACACATCTTGACCTCATTTTCTTTTTCATTAAGAAAAAAACTTATTACAATTTCAATAAAAATGACCTTAAAAGTTCATTGACCTCTTTCATCTATTTATTTATTTTTTTCTCCATTTAATCGTCACAAAATTTTGTTTCGTCAAGAAAAAATTGAAATTATCTTAACGTTACTATTATTATTATTACTATTATTAAGTTTCAGAAATTAGAAAAATAATCCACTTTTAAGTCTTAATTGTTAGTTTTTCTCACAACTACTCACACACACACAATTTATTCATTCAACTTGAAGATTAACGTTATTAATCGGATAAAAATCAATGAAGATTAGTTTGTATGAAGCTAAACAAAAAATCAATGTCATACACACACACAATCAATGAATTGTAGTGTAGTGTAGTGTAGTGTGGTGTAAGATTCATTTTTTTTGAAGGCTTTGTTTTGGGGAAAATCCCTCTCCCATGTTGTATACATTTGTAATTTGTTCTTATTGAGATGCCTTCAGCAGTTGTACATTTTGTGTAGTCTGTTCGATTTCATTTTGTGATGATGATAGTTTCTATTTCTTTTGCCTTTATTGAGTTTCTGTGTGTTTCTTTCATAAACTTCATTTATGTTGTTTAAGCTGATACTTAGGAATGGCGGCAGCCATATTGATTTGTTCCTCTTTTGAATGCATTTTGATTTTGAACTGAAGCACCATTCCAGTACTAGAAGCCCTCTGTGTTATAAAGCAACCAAATATTATCTGTCGAACAAATCTGATCTATCCAGGAAGGATAGAATATCATTTATTTGTTGCAGTTGATTCCATTAACTGAACAGTTGTCGGTGGAATAACTGAGTGGTAATATTTGTTTAGATAATGATGTATATTTATATTTATGATGAATATTAGAACCGTTATTTATCCAAATCACCTTGTTTTGATTTCAACTGGGCAACATGCGTAACTTACCTACCTAGACAGTTATTCCTCAGTCCAAACCTCAGTTTGGATCCTACATGTAGTGTTGCTTAAATTTGTGCATACTTTAAAATTTCATATGAAATCAATAACACTAACAACTCATCAGAAACCTGGAAGCAATAGAACGCTATTTTGTCCTGATCTGAAACTTATCAACAGAGTGAATCTACAACCCTGTCAGAGGAAGTTGAACATAGGAATTTAAGTCTCTCGCACGAGAACGCTTAAACTTTTGATTAGCAAGCTTGCATCTGAAATATTCACAATGTTAATGGTGGTCTAACATTGATCAGTTTATGAAATCAATGAAATTTAACAAACTCCACAATCTTATACTGCTGACTTTAAAGCTTATTTTGCTATAGTTTTTATTAGATAATTTAAAGCATACAAGTTCGATAGGATGCAACACAGTAATCAAGTATATAATACCATACTTTGGTAAATATGATACCGTAGGATTCTTCTAAAACTAAAGCTAATTTCTGTACAGATACACAAATGTGACCTTGATATTTTAGAGGAGCTTGCTTAGGAGTTTCCCACTGTGTGCTGATTGGACGACATGCCTCCAATCATTTTCCAGCTACTGAAGACTTGCTTGAGGAATCGGTAAATTATTTCAACAGTAATTAAATATAGACATCCAAATGGAAATATTAGTAACTCGTTCCTTATCACAAATGACATAATAATGCGTTTATTACATCATTAGAGCAGTTTGTATATCTTGCTTATGTTATTTATAACTGATTGATCTTGACTAGTGTTCTTCTGAACTGTTATCCATTGATGTGCAACTACTATGTTACATAATCACCAATTAAGTATCTTAACTCTATGGCCTTAGTGTTGCAGACAGACTTTACATCATACATAACTTTAGTGAAACAATCAATACTGGTATTAGACAATTGAAAGCTTTCAATGTTTCAATAAATGAAATATAATTCTACATATTGTTAAATCATATAGTTAGTAGTGTTTATAGATCATTGATTACTAGTCAGGTTAGATCAATAAAGTTGATTATCTTCATTCTCAAACAAAACTAACATCTACAGAAAGAAAACACTGCCAAAATGATACGAACATTCGGTAGTAGTAATAATAATAATAATAACGTGAAACTAGCCAATCAGCGTAGAATGATTTCAACACAATGAACTTTGAATGAATGAATGAATGTCCTTAAATTGACCTTGTATTTTTTTTCCAAAGTCAAAATGAAAAGAAAATCAAAGTACCGTTTGAATGATTTCACTAACTAACCAACTAACTAACTAACAACAAAACCTGATCTCTATTTCAAATTGAAATACTCACGTATATATTGTGAAATGAAATTATACATTTAACTTACCAGGAGACATTAATAAAATCGCTGCCATCATAGCTACATCAGTTTGATCAATATTCAAACGTGCCATTTTCAATGCTACACCACGAATTAATTGAGCACATTTCTCATCAGATGTACCAAGTTTTGGATAATAATTATTAGGTATATGCGGTGGTGTTATTGTATTATATTGATGAGATAAATTGGTAGTAGTAGTTGTTGTTGTTTGATTACTGGTTGCCAATAGCGAAGAAGATGTTGGTATTGATGACGGCGTTGTTGTTGTTGTCGATGTTGTTGAACTTCGAATCATCCATGAATTATTATCAACTAATCCTTGAATTTTAGCTGATCTACTTATACAATATGCAGCTCTTAATGTGATTAGATCAATGCAACAACCGCTAAGTAAACGAATTTGATCATCTGCTTCAAGCTTTAATAAGAAATAAATGAAAGAAAATGTTTTAATTTTCTTGGTATAGTAAATATGAATTACTAATGATGATTATACTACTCTAATTTATATGATATAGAATTTGAGAATGATAATTTTGTCAACATGTCATGTTAGAACATTGCCTCATTTATCTCTCGTCAACGGTTGTTGTATTTCTTGATATTAGTGGCACCTTCAGTTCATTGAACAGGACTGTTCTTTGGCATTGTCTATTGAAGAAGGGTGTGTTTGAGAAGTTTGTTAACTTCCTAAAAGCTCTAAATATAAACGCCGCAAGTAGGATGAAAGCATGCAACCAACTCTCGCCGTTGTTTCATTCAAAAAGTGAGGTTATGCAGGATTACCAAACTTCTCCAACTTCTGGAAACAACTCTAATTGATGTAGGTAATGGTAGTGCGGATTCGTTACATCAAGTAAGATTTTTCCACTTTGAGTATGCTGACGATACTTTCCTATTGTGCGATTATTCCCTAGTCATGCAATCCACACGTAATCAGTAAGCAATCAGTGTCTATAGGTATGGTATGTTCTTTGTACTTTGTAAATGCAAAGTACTCTTACACGACTGGCAGGATGCTGAACTTACACTCAGTTTTTGTAGTGAGCAGATAGAATTAATCAAAAAGTCCATGTATCTGGTTAACTTAGTAAGTGTTGGTGATGGCGTGAGTGGTAAGATCAACTCACTTGAAGACCAGAGTGGTTTATACCAATCTGGGCCATTGTGATATTAGTCTGACTATAAAAGGACGGTTCTACAATGAGTCAGTAAGGGCATTTTGCTGCGTTTGTGAATTCTGATCTATCCGAGTTGATGATGTTAAGTGACTATCCGTGTTCGATCTCGAAGGATGTTGAAATGATAGAGAAAAAATGTGTAACTCAAGTGAATGATTATGATGGAGTTTCGTTCTCTGAGCTGAACGATTTAATTGTGGAGCTTTTTTTATTCCGAAGGTCCTGGGTTGGATAACCACGGGCGTGTTACATGGATGCGCACTGGCGATGAGCTCAAACCAGGACGAAACAAATATCCAGTGCCTTCAGTTTTCTAAGTTAAGGTTAAGAATGTTGAGGTTAGGATGGCTAGAATATTTCTTTTAGCTAACTCTTGACTGTGTATTGAATCGTATCAATTACAATTCAGATAACTTTCATGTACTTCTTGTAATTTAGGTAATTCACTGTGTTACATTCAATGTAAAGTTGCATATAAAACATTTATTTACACATTGAAATCATCAATCAATCATTGTTAGACCACCATTAAAAACCTGAACGCACTAGACGGCCGTTTCGTCCTGATACGCAACTAATCAGCAGTGCGCATCCACGACCTGCACCTCGCAGGATTCGAACCCAGGACCTACGGTCTAGTGTCTAACCTCTGGACCACTGCGACGTCGTTCAACGGTGTTAATGTCTATTCAGTTATAATTATGGATATTAGTGTTTTTTGCACACTGAGTTCATCAATCAGTCATTTTTAGACCGCCTGCGAGCTGCAGGAGTCGTGGATGCGCACTGCTAATGAGTCCCATATCAGGACGAAACGGCTGTCCAGTGCTTTTAGCTTTCTAATGGTGGTCTAACAATGATTGATTGATGATTTCAGTGTACAAAAAACACTAATCTCCATAACTCTAATTGAAAAAAATTTATTTATCAATCTTAACCATTGTAGGAATTAGATATAAACAAGTTAGTCCTAAACATAATTTATCCTATTCTCTAATAGGTTTTGAATCAAAGAGCAGTTATCTTAAATCTGATTAGTTCATTTGAGGTTATCAGTATAACTTAACTTAATTTTACCCAACTGAGATAATGAGTTCAATTTTTCTGCTTCAATTTCTGCAAAAAGGTATTGGTAATTGAAAATACTAAGTTTGATTCGATGTAGACTTATTAGTGACCTCTAATAGAAAACATTGAAACTAGGATGAAAATATTTCGAATCACTGCATTTTTTATATGTTTAAAATGTTTCGAAAATATTTCAGAAGTATGATGAAAAAGAATATTTGATATTTTCATGCCTTTCATGCTTAAACATTATCGCTAACAACTATTTGATCGAAATATGACAGTTACACCATTAGATACTGGCTCAGTGGTCCAGAGGTTAGGCGTTCGCGCTCAAGACCGAAGGTCTTCGATTCGATTCCTGCGAGTAGTGGGAGTCGTGGACGCACACTGTTTTGATGAGTCCTATACCAGGTCGAAACGTGGGTTGAATGCTTACAGGTTTCTAATTGTACTGGTCTTACATTGATCGATTCATGATTTCAAAATGTCACTCAACAATCTCCATAACCCTCTATCTATCTAATTAATTAATTAGTCAAATTCTAAATTTGTCATGACCTATTATTCTCGTTTTAAATAGATTTCACGAGATTATACTTCTTGGATAATTTGTTCGTATCTTAATCATCTCCATTATCTTTAATACTTCTACTACCTCTACTTTTGTGAGATTTGAATTTACAAATTGATCTTTGTGTGTTAATGTGGTATGGCAACTTGAACTGGTGTACGTACGTATGAAGTTCTATGTTGTGGCTGATTGACTGACTGTCTGATTGACTCAGAGAACAAAACTTGACTTCGATTCTTAAAATACTAGATTCTTGGTAATGCTAGTTCATACCTCCAAGATTACAGATGAGTACAAACTAGTAGGAAGTCTGGATCTGTCTTCAACCATCTAATGCTTTCATCAATACAAAAGAGAATTCACATTTTCTGCAATTCTGTGCAATATTTTAGATCAATATAATTATTGCAATTAAGTATGAGAGATATGAACTTTCACTCCGTATGTCAATCATATTCCTTGTATGAATGTGTATGTCTGTATGTGTACTCGTTGGGTTTTACGACAACAGTCAGTATATTGTTATTTTCATGGTGCTTACTCACTAATTCACCAACTGTGCGTATAGAATCATCATGTAATTGGTCCAAGGATGAAGTGAATTTTTAAACTAGTTTTTGTAGACATATTTTTTGCAGAGATTGTAGCATCTCACCATTTATTCATCATACTAACTTTAGTAATTAGTCGTTTAAATTACTCGATCATAGTGTGATGCTGTGGTGCGAGCTGCTTATAAGTAGTATATGACGTCATCGTCAACGTAATGTCTGGCAGCCGAAGATGGGGGAAGATCAAGAAAGGAAGAGTTAGAAAACAATGGAATTTGTTTGAAACGCATGAATAGTGACAATGGATTGATGTTTTGCAACAGGAACAGTCCAGTTCGATATGATGAACTGATATTTTGCAAATTAACGATTTACGATATGGTTTTCCGATTTTACTGAGTAACTCTGTAATTTTCGCTAAATACAATCCGGTTGCCCCATCTGTGTTCTCTTTCACTACAATAGTATCGGTCATTTTTTATATCCGTATTAATTTGATAACAGTATCAACTATGGTATATTTAATTGTGTGTGTGTGTGTGTGTGTTCGGATTCATGCTAACTTCAATTATTACATGTCTAGCATATTATTGCCTAACTATAAACACTTAGTTATTCTTCAGTACACTAGAACTGGCTCACTCACTCGCCTTCTCCAATTCGCTTTGATTTGATTTGCTTCGCTTGTACGCTTTTTATTCTCATGTCGGTTTTGGCTTAAATGAACGCATGAAATAAATTCATCCACGAGACCTTATTTGGCTTCTTATTACCACCGTCGAACAAATGAGGTTTGCCTACGGAAATGCACAGAAAGATTTATTTCACTGAGGACTCGATCATTCATTCAACTGGAGTTAAGCATCGGGCCACTAAATTGGTGAGTCCTACTTCGAATTCAACACAAGTTACTAAAAGCCAATAAAAATTTTCATTTTTATAAAGCCTTTAATGCAGTAGAAACTGACTATTCTATCGCACACGCAACAACAAATGCAAGAGAAGACGACCAGTGTAGCAGCAGTCTCTGCCGCAGCAGGTCTCAACATATATAAAGGAAAAAGCAAAATTCTCCGATGCAATACAACATGCACCACCCAAATCATTCTTCATGGAGATGCCTAGGATGACGTTAACACCTTTACATATCTTGGCAGTATCATCGACGAGAAAGGTGGATTCGATGCAGATGTGAGGGCGCAGATTGGCAAAGCAAGGGCTGCATTTCTACAAGTGAAAAATATCTGGGACTCCAAACAGCTTTCAACCAAAACCAAAATCAGGATTTTCAATACAAATGTCAAGACAGTTCTACTGTATGGAGCGGAAACTTGGAGAACTACCAAAGCCATCATCCAGAAGATATAAGTATTTATTAATAGTTGTCTACACAAAAATACGTCGGATTCGTTGGCCAAATAATATCAGAGACAACCTGCTGTGGGAGAGAACAAACCAGATTCCAGTGGAAGAAGAAATCAGGAAGAATCGGTGGAAGTGGATAGGACACACACTACGAAAAGCACCTAACTGCGTCACAAGACAAGCCCTTACTTAGAACCCTCATGGCAAAAAGAAAATAGGAAGGCCAAGGAACACATTACACCCGAGAAAAGGAGAAAGATATGAGAACAACGAACAAAAATTGGACAGAATTGGAAAGGGAAGCCGAGGACAGAGTTGGTTAGAGAAAACTGGTGAGGGGTCCATTCTCTATTGGGGGTAAGGCGAAAGTAAGTAAAGTAAGTTTATGTAGTAGAAGTCAATATACACTGCATTTTCAAGTCAACATTTGGTTGCATCAGAGTCGACACAAATATAACAAATTCAGTAGTATATCACAAAAAATACAAATAACAATAGTTTCCAGTATCATTTCAAATGATTTCACATTCAAAATGAACGATTCATTAAAACTTACTGTATCGAATCCTTGAATTTGTTTGGCGAATTTCACTAAACGTGTTATTGCTGGTTCAATCAGATAAGCTAAATCATGAAATGTTGTCATATATAATGCTCTAGCATGTTGAATATCTTCTTGTTCAACGTCATCAAACTAAAAAGAAAACAAATTAAAACAAATAAGTATTAATTGATCAAATAGCATTATTAATATGAAAAAAAAAATATATCTAACATTCACTCAGATAATCAAAATAAGCAATATTGAACAAATGAATATGATCAGTTAATGTATCAGGTATGTTACAAATCAGCCGAGGAGAGAATAGGTTGGAGAACGTTGATCAGTGGCCTATGCTCCATTAAAGGTAACAGAAGTAAGTAAGTAAGTAAGTAAGTAAGTAAGTAAGTAAGTAACTAAATAAACCTAATCGTTTAGCCTATTTAAATCGATCAAACTGATTTATCTATCAAAAGTTCTTTAGTGTTTTCGCAAGCTATATTCTCGTCGTTGATACTGAATAGTTTATTAATAGAGTTTTGATCACTATCTTTTAGCAAATATTCTTTCCGGATGGATTGTCTTCTCCTTCTCATACGTACGTCATGCGTATTTCAATGCAGCTGGATAAAAGGCTAACTAGAACATCAAACTCATTACTTACTTACTTGCTTCCGCCTGTTACTCCCAATGGAGCATAGGCCGCTAACCAGTATTCTCCAACCTACTCTGTCATGCGCTTCCATTTACAGTTTTGTCCAATCTCGTTCATACTTCTCGTGCCTGTCTCCATTTCTCGATGTAATATGTTCCTTAGCCTTCCTCTTTTACTTCGATCTTGAGGGTCCCAAGTGAAAGCTTATCTTGTGAGGGAGTTAGGTGCTTTCCGTAATGTATGCCCTATTCACTTCTTCCTGATTTCTTCTTCCACTGGAATTTTTCGTTTGTTCTGTTCCACAGTAAGCTGTTGCTGATCATGTCTGGCCAATGAATCCGACGTATTTTTTCGTAGACAACTGTTAGTAAACACTTGTATCTTCTGGATGATGGATTTGGTAGTTCTCCAAGTTTCCGCTCCATACAGTAGAACTGTCTTGGCATTTGTATTGAAAATTGCAACTATGATGTTTAATAGCAGTTGTTTTGAGTTCCAGATATTGTAGAAATCCAGCTCTTGCCTTCACATTTGCGTCAGATCCACCTTAAGTGTCGATGATGCTGCCCAGATATATAAATTTTTCACATCCTCAAAAGCATCTCCATCAAGAATGATTTTGTTGGCACATGTCATGTTGTATTGGAGAATCTTGCTTTTCCTTTTATGTATGTTTTAAACCTACTGCTGCTGAGGCTGCTGCTACCCTGATTGTCTTCTCTTGCATTTGTTGTTAAGTGTGTGATAGAACAGCCAGATCATCTGCGAAGTCCTAATCGTCCAGCTTCATCCTAGCCGTCCATTGTAAACCGTTTTTACAGCCACATGTCACCGTCTTCATGATCCAGTCGATCACCAGGAGTACAAAACATCCCTCATGGATTCCCCTACCGTTCATTATCCATCTTTTTTTCATGAGTTTATAGAGTAACTTGAAAAATGTTTATACAGTTGTTACAAAATACAAATTTAATGATTCTTCTTTGATTCAGATTGAAAATAAGAAGACTATTTTAACACTTGGCAGATAGTTGGCAAACATTTCATGCATTCTCTTTCTACTAAACAGTATGATATGATGGTTAGTGTTACTGTTGAACGATTTTATACTATAATGCAAGTATCTAAATATGAAACATGAACTGAATATATTAAATCAATGGCTTAGGGAAAGCATTGAGTTGATGTTGAATTGTAGCTACATAATATTAACTCTACCTGGAGCCATTCTACGGTTACTGTCGATTCCAAGCCCAAATAAAGGTGGACAGTTGGGAATGGAGGGTTAGCTACCCTTATCTCATAGAAATCCAAGTCGCTAAAAAAAACACTAACCAAGAAAAATTATTCGTTGGTTTTTGGCCTATGCTTCATTAGGGGTAATAGGGCGTAAGGAAATCGGTAACATAATACACAAGTCACACTCGAACAGCAGAGTTCACTTAAAGAAATTCTGAAGAAACTTGGGGAACAAAATACCTATAGTCATAGAAAATTTTCTGATTATAAGAAAACTAAATGATTTGTTGTTTAAGTTTGAAGCTAATCGGCACCAATTCAAATTTCTAGTGGATTCATTATTTGATCACAATAACACTAAGAAGGTATTATATCTATTTTTTTCAGAATGTATTTATTTTAGTTTATATTAGAGCGGTAGCTTAGTGGTGAAAATAGGACACACACTGAAGAAATCACCAAATCGTATCACAAGATAAGCCTTCACTTGGAAACTTCAAGGTCAAAGGAAAAGAGGAAGGCTAAGGAACACATTACATCGAGTAAATGGAGACAGGCATGAGAAGTATGAACAAGATTGGACAGAAGTGTAAACGAAGGCCCAGGACAAAGTAGGTTGGAGAATGTTCGTTGGCGGCCTATATCAGTTAAGGGTAATGGGTCTAATGACGTAAATAACTTAGTGGTTAAGGTTTCTAACAACCTAAGTCCGAACCCCGACTCACCTCCTTCAGTTTAGTCAATTGAATATTATTTTTAACTTTCACATTTACAGTGTGTCACATATCCAAATGTCTGAAAGATAAGTTAGTTTAAAAGAAACTATTTTAATTATTGAATTAGTTTAATGGCTTATTTCGTGAACTATATTTAACACCATATGTTTACACATTTGAAATCGATCAATGTCATACCACCATTAGAAACCTGGAAGCACTGGATGACTGTTTCATCCTGTTATGGGACTCGTCAGCAGTGCGCACTCACGACTCCTGCATCTCTCAGGATTCGAATCCAGGACCTTCGGTCTTGCACGTGAACGCCTAACCTCTGGACCACTGAGCCGCTATATCTGACGGTGTTAATGTCAATGATCAATGTTAATGATGAATTCACGGTCTTGCTCAACCTTATACACTGCCTTCGGTAGTTACTGTCTACACCCGAACAGGTTTAACTTCATTGGTCATGACTTTCTACTCGAACTCGGAGAAGATTCCTCATGGAGTTGGTCATTAGTGAGCACAATATGTTTAGTGATGAGAAAACATAAGTATAAACTGTCAATTACTAGCTAACATTGAATATATAACTGACTATATACATAACTTTTGATTATTTAAATCCGATCGCTATTTGGAATAATTATTATACAGTAAAAATAAGCCTGATTTGTATAACTTGATAGTATAATCAGATATAATATAAGCAGTTAAATTATAATTTCTGAGATATTTTTTTAGCAATTAAAACTTTTTTAAACAGTCTATTGTCAATTTGGATTAATGGAAAATAGTAATCATAATACAGAAAGTCACATGCTTTACACCAATCTAAAATAATTATTGTTATTCTATAAAATGCAATAGGTAGGTTGTAAATTTTAATTTATTTAAAACTTATCATATCTTGAGAGGGCGAAGAAAATTTGTGATGGTGTTTCATTCTCTAAACTGGGTGTATCAGTTGTGAAGCTTTCATTGTTCCTCGGAACAACATCACCAGCTTTACTTACTTACTTACGCCTGTTACCCCCAATGGACCATAGGCCGCCCACCAGTTTTCTCCAACTAACTCTGTCCTAGGCTTCCCTTTCCAGTTCTGTTCAATTTTTGTTCATTCCTCTCATATCTTTCTCTATTTCTCGGTGTAATGTGTTCCTTGGCCTTCCTCTTTTCCTTTTGCCTTGAGGGATCCATGTGAGGGATTGTCTTGTGACGCAGTTTGCTGCTTTTTGTAGTGTGTGTTCTATCCACTTCCACCGCTTCTTCCTGATTTCCTCCTCCACTGCAATCTGGTTTGTTTTCTCCCATAGTACGTTGTTGCTGATCGTGTCTGGTCAACGAAAACTATGTATTTTTCATTGACAACTGTTAATAAATACTTGTATCTTTTGGATGATGGATTTCGTAGTTCTCCAGGTTTCCGCTCCATACATACCGGAAGTAGCCCCGAAGGGTCTACAGGCAGAGTTAACATCACCAGCACAAGCTTCAAACAGAAGCAAGTAAGTTTGTGCTGATGATATTGTTCAGAAGGACAATGAAAGCTCCACAATCAAAACACCCATCTCAGAGAACAAAACAGCACCACATTTAACATATCAGAAGACTAGAGAATATTAGCTGATTACTGAAACTGAATTTTTGTGCAGATCACACAGTAATCTACGTTAGACAATCAGCGAAAAACTAGAAAGCTCTGTAGAGCTATTTCATCACACTAGTATGAGACTTTTCAGGTATGAATATATACAACCACACCTGAAACCAAAGTAAGCACCCTCAGGTTTTATGGTTGACTAGTTTTATTTCTAAATCGGTATCATCAGCTCACTAATTTTTAGAGCACTGTGATAAAATAGTTTACATGTCTAACTCTAAACAATTCACGTTGTTGCCCAACTACCTAATAGTATTGAACTCCACTGATTACGTTTTCTAACTAGAACTGTTGAAATTTACAATCACAGTTAATCACTAGTGATACACTCTACTGACGAATTTTATCCTTGGAAGGTATAGCTGTGCAGTGTCTCCTGGTTGCAAATAGTTCTCCAACTTGCGGTTAGTTTACAAATTAGTTCTCTGTTGGCAAGGGTAGTTTCAAATTGGTTTTCAGGAGTACCAAGGTGTTAACATTTCAACGTGCACAGTTCGGCTCCATTTCGTGTTGCATCTATACCCGTACCTGACACAGTGATGAACGATTCACCCCATACACCAATACATATATAGTAATTATTTCCGATCCATGATTGTGTCAATCAGTATGCACAACATGAACAGGCCAATGTGACCCATCCTGCTTACATGACTAACACACTCATTATTATTAGCAATGGTGATATGCAACACAGCACCCGAATGACAATGGCCCTCGGGGAATGTTGCAAGAAAACCATCAATATCAATGAAATCTGTCACCTTGCAAACCAAATTTGTATATGGACTGTTAGCAATACTTGCCAAAGCAATGTCAAGCCATCCACAATGCTCATCACAACGAACCTATGTTCTCATAGGAAACCTTCAGCTCTCTATAGCAGTATAGCATATGGTTTACACATAGTATGGCATAGGATAGCAAGAGATGCACCCCAGCTTGATGCAAATGGGCTCAGACATTCTTGCCACTCTTTGTCTCAGTACCGAAATTTTCATTTTTTTTTTACCATATGAGACCTGAATTAGAGGTTAGTAACCCTCTCTATAAACCCCTATAAACTGAAATTAATAGATTTAGATAATAACTTCAATGACTAGAAGTCAATTACTTTTATCGTAATAATATAATTATTTACTTACTAATAGTTATTTATTCAATAAAGGTTGACAATAGAGTTACCTTGTGTCGCTTATATCCGTCAATCAACAGATTATTTATTCAGATATTAAAAACGATCAGTATTGCATAATCGTGAAGTAATAAATGACTTTATAATGACTTTATTTAGAAAGTGAGTCACGGGCTCATACTGAACTCTATCAATCATAATTATATAAGATAGTAAGTAGTATTACAAGTCTATAAACGTAATAGTTATTGTTTTTCTTTTCATATAAAGTCAGTCAGTCATTCAGTTACAACGTAGAACTTCGTACATCAGTCCATAAGTTCAGGTTGTCATACCTCAATAGAACAGAGACGCAACTGTCACTTCAAATCCGACTGTAGTAGCGATAGTAGTAGAATTAGCAGTAATGGAGAAGATTAGGGTTCGAAGACATGATTCAAGAAGTAGCTGCTACATTGTCGTAGTGATCTGGCTACCTATTGTGATGACCCGACCGAGATATATTGGCTGGAACACATGTTCCTGAGGGATCTACCACGCCAGGCAGGTCGATTGGATAACGATGAGACTAAAAGCAGCTACTCAAAGTCTGAGGGCGAAGTCGTACCGCTGACTGACTGTAGAGGGGTGTGACAGCAGTAAGGTGTTTCCCTCGGACAACCAGCACCTGCAGCGATGGTGTCTTCTCATAAGGAAGGAACGGGTTAGAAAAGGTCGACTCTAAAAATATCACACTTCACCTTACCTCATGGATTTCCGTCTCCGGTGGTAAGGGCTTTTAAACGAGAACGGTGCCAACACTTCATTTTGTAGGAAAAAACCCAGGTAATTTCACTTTATACCATCATAACAGTAATGATTATTATTATTATTGTTATTATTGTTATTACTGGCTAAACTTACCTTTGTAAGGAATCCGGTCACATGTGAATCCACAATACTTTTAATTACAAATTCACCTGAATTTTGTTGAGAATGATCACCTGATTGTGTAACATTTGGATTGTTTTTACCAGATGATAATTGATGTTGAAATTTTTTATTAGGCTTAAGAGATATGAAGAAAAAAATGCACCAGAGATGTTTTATGTAAATTTCTTACATACTACTAATAATAATAATTCTCATTATTGATAGATTTGATTATATAATATCTAGTGAACATTTTATTTAGGAAATGAAATTTAAGTAGAATGAATATAGAAATATACAATACAATAGCCTAATCAGATACCAACCATGTGATAAGCACATATGATTGGCCGAGATTTGAATTCATTTTGGTGGAAATATATAGCTTAACTAAGATATATATATATATATATATATATATATATATATATATATATCAGTCAGGTATCAAGTTGCCATACCACATTAACACATAGACGCAATTGTCAATTCAAATCACATAGTGGCAGAGACAGTAGAAGAATCACTGCTAATGGGGGAAGATTAGGATTTGAAGATAATATTCAAGATGTATAATACAGTGAGATAAGTGTAGAAAGACAAAGGATTTGAGAGAACAAAAAGAATGAATGCACCTGTGCCATTGTAAACGGTTTCGAGTCATGTCATTCAAGGTTTCTAACCATCGGTGAATTCCGTCTCGCGGACCCCAACCACGTAGCCTACATCTACAAACATGACTCAGTCCACTTGTCAGTGACTTCATTGATTTCTGCCATGTTTTGGTCTGGTCGCCCCTAGCTTTCTTCCAATCTACTCCTACACCACAAAACATAGCTCGTCGAGTCAGTCGGTGGTTAGGCATACGTAACACATGTCCCAACCACCTCAAGTGATGAAGTTTCACTACTTCATCTATTGATTTGCCATCCTTACCTAGTAATCGCTTCCTAATGGCAGCGTTGCCTACTCAGGTGTCCCACGATACACGAGCAATGCTTCGGAGACATCTATGATTGAATACTAGTAACCTACAAATATCTTCTACTCTTATCGGCCATGTATCGCATCTATATAGTAGGACGGAGCGAACTGCTGCACATTTCACTCAACCTTTGGTTAGCAAACAGGTATGTAGCCTAAGCCATAAATGACGTAAATTAGCAAAAGCCAGTCGAGCTTTCTGTATTTTCTGAATTTCAACTGGACATCATTTGTGAGCATATATATATATATATATATATATATATGAAATATTAATACTATCTAGTTTGTGGAATCTCTATAGACTAAGTAGAGTTAGAACCATGAACCCAACGATCCAGTGCTCTAATCACTAAAAAAGCACTGATTTACACACATAGAAAAATGTACCTAATAGAATTAAACTAACAATAAAAATACAAATGAACCATGAGCAAAGAAAACAATACTTGTAAGTGATAGTTAATAAAACACTGGACACTGATAAACTCCATATAACAAATGGTGAACTGATTCTTGAAAGTATAATCATCATGTATTGTCTTCAATGATTGCCTTCATTGCAAGAATATTACTCATGTAATTTTAACCTGTCATCTTATGTAGCTTGGTTACCTAACTAACCATCAATACATGTCAATTTTAAAGTAAAGAGGTTGTCTTCGTGTAGAAACATCAATAACTGGAGTTTCAAACAGAAATATTTCTCCTAGTATTAACTGACATAAACTTTGAAGTGATAGTGAGTATTTAAGGAATGTGACTAAAACATAGACTGACACATTACTTTCATACAATTTACAGTATACATAAACATAAGTCTCACAAATGAGTGAATTAATATTAACTTTTAAATCAAGTAATATGATTATAGTTGAATATTTTTAAGTACGTCTATCAATGTACAACGATTCAACGATAGATGTGTGGTTGACATATTAAAATCATCAATGAATTATTTTTAGACAACCATTAGAAATCTGAAAGCACTGGACGGTTGTTTCGTCCTGTTATGGCGCTCATCAGCAATGCAAATCCACCAATTTTGCTACTCGCAAAATTCGAAATCAGAACTTATAGTCTTGGGTTTAACCTCCGGACCACTGAGCCGGCATCCAAAGGTGTTAATATCTAACTCTGTTCAATTTAGGAATTTTGCGCGACCTCACCCATTTGTCTTTGGTTTTTCACTGTCTACATCCGACAGGGTTGAACTTCACTGGTTATGTCTTCTCACTAGAAACCCGAGAATTTCCTCACTAGTGGGCATATTGCAGGATTTTTTTAAATTAAAATCATGTAGATCAGTGTTTTTACACATTGAAATCATCAATAAAGGGACAAAATGTATGTTTGAGTAATAAATTTGCAGCTAGTTTGAGCATTTACTCGATTTCCCTAGGTTTCGTGTTATTTAGCTCCACAAAGTTAGTCAACTACAACGTAGAAGTTTGGTACGTAGTTAAGTACATAAGTTCAAATTGCCATGTCAATTTAAATCCCATAGGGATAAAAATAATAGAAGTATTAGGTGCAATGGAGAAGATAAAATTACATCTAACTGTGGTACACCGTTAAGTGTTGATGGTTATTTCTTCTTATTTCAGTCTACATATTTAAGTGCCAACTATTACAACTACCAGATTTTTTGCTACTTCGGTTTGAAAGAAGTTAATAAGTTAATGGTAGAACTTTTTATTTTATGTTACGTCACAATCTTCGGTTTATATATCTTTCTGCTTTCAGGTTCTTCAATAGTCAAACTATTTACCAACTTATCAATTAAGCACTTCAGTTTAAACAAACTTTGTAATCATAGTCTTATTATCCAAGTAGTTGTTCATGGTCTGTCATAAGAAGTCTGAGTATCAGAATCAAATATAACTGAATACAACACGAAGACGGTCAGATGTAGCTAGAAAGAACTTAGTGTACTATTTACCTACTTATTATGAAGTACTACAGTTTAAACAGACTTTAAATTTAGTAACGTTGAAAACCAATGGAATTCATGACGCATCCCATTTTAGCACCCATCAGTTCAATATCCTTATATTGCTTATGTTAATTAATATTCACAATGGGACTCAAAAACCTACTTCCTTTCTCATGCTAATCACTTGATGCTCATTGAATTATATACTTCTCGAATCATATCTTCGAATCCTAATCTTCTCCATTACTACTAATATGTCTACTATCGCTACCACTATGGGATTTGAACTGACAGTTACGTCTCTGTGCTTATGAGGTATGGCAACTTGAATTGATGTACTAATGTACGAAGTTCTACTTTTCGGGCAGAGATTTGGAGGTTTGTTTTTTTACAAATTTGAAATCATCAATCAATCACTGTTAGATCACCAACAGTAGAAACCTGGAAGCACTGAAAGACGACCGTTTCGTCCTACTATGGGACTCATCAGTGACAGTGTGCATCCAAGACACCTAGCAGGATTTGAACCCGGGACATTCGGTATTGTACGCGAACGCCTGACCATCGGACCACTGGGCCGGCATCCAACGGTGTTCATGTCTAACGAAGTTCTACGTTGTAACTGACTAACTGACTGACTGACTGACTGACTGGATTACAAATATAAAAATCATAATAATAACAGTAATAATAAAACTTAGAATTTACCTAACAAATCTTGCAGCATTTCATTGATTTCACATGAATTAATTATTAAACTTACTGAATCGTTATTATTAGTAGTAGCATTATCAGCATAGATTGATTCGTAAGCATGACATATTGAATTTAATAAATTTTGATCATCTATGGTCCATGCATATAAATCATCATCTGTTCCAGTATCACTTTTCTTTGAAATGAATTGTAATTGTTCTTCGTCAGTAGTAGTAGTAATAGTAGTCTGTGGTAAATTTAATGAGGACGACGAAGTTAATAATGAGGCTGATGATGATGATGACGATGAGGAGGAGGCGGTCAACGACACCGGACAAGATGCTGCTGATGACGACGACGATGAATAGGCACTGACAGAGAATGGCATCACATTAGATGATGGTGGTGATGATGTATTCATTGAAATCATTGATGATGGTGTAAATTTTCTTTCATCTATTTGAGTGATTTTCATTTCATTCATTATCTCAGTGTTTTGTGTTAAATTATTCTTGACAATTGAATCGGCC